TGGGGGGGGGGGGGTGGAGATTGAATTGAAGGGTGTGGGTGTGGGGGGTATGAAGATACACCACAGTGGTTAAACATAGCGTCCTTTAACTTATGGCGAATGGTCCACCGTGAAAAATATAGAATACCAATAATAAGTAGGAAGAAGAAGAAGAAGAAGAAGAAGAAGAAGAAGAAAGAGGACCACTGGAGTATTAAATCCGTAGAAGATGGGGTGTGGGGAATGGTCCAAAATGGAAGAGAGAATAGCATGTGCTCCATGTGTAAGCAAGGAAAGGCGCAGGCAGGGTGGTGTGCTGTGCTGTGCTGTGCTGTGCTGCGCATGGGGCTGCGACATGTAATGCAATGACTCCAATCTGCAACTTCTCATGTGCCCTCTGGTCCATACACTCCATCCTCTCCTATACCAACTGGCACACATTCCTTTCTCCAACTTACCTTAACAAGCACCTGGTTTGTGCTCCATTTTTCCCATAATTCCATATTCTAATTCATTCACAACTGCTTCTTCAACAATCACTAACATAGGATGCACCCATAATTTACATTATATTAGGACGATTTTGGATCAAAGTCCTACATTTCATAGACTCGATAGATTTGTTGCAGTTTTGACTACACCGACAATCATAATTTTCAACTTAGAGAACTAAATCGAAATAAACCACTTAGAACGTCACCTTTCAAGATTTTTCCTTTTTGTCGCAATCGATAGTTCTTATCGAAATTTAATGTAATGGTGCAACTTTAGTCTATTTGGTGCACTCAACTATCGATTTGACATCACATTTGATAATGATTATTTGTTTATTTATTTAGAAGAAGTCACCATTTGTGTTAATGAAAGACAAAAATAATATCCAACCCAAAGCACGACCTTGGCTTTTAGCCTTCTTTCCTCCTAACCTCATTGTGATGTCCTACCTTAGTTGGGAGACAACAAACCACTATTTATAAGAGTGTGAAACCTTCCTCTAGTAGATGCATTTTAAAGCCTTGAAGAGAAGCTCGAAAGGGAAAGTCCAAAGAGGACAATATCTGCTAACGGTGGATCTGGGTCGTTACAAATGGTATCAAAGCCAGACACTAGACAATGGCCAACCTTCTTGCTGTTCTCCGAAGGAGGTAGAAATGAGGCGGTGTGCCAGTAAGGACGTTGGACCCCAAAGGGGGGTGGATTTGGGAGCGGTCCCACATTGATTGGAGGAAGAAAAGAGTGCCAGCAAGGACGCTGGGCCCCGAATAAGGGTGGATTGTGATGTCACACATTGGTTGGGGAGGAGAACAAACCGCCATTTATAAGGGTGTGGAAACCTTCCCTAGCAAACGCGTTTTAAAGTCTTGAGAGGAAGCCCGAAAGAAAAAGTCTAAAGAGGACAATATCTGCTAATAGTGAATCTAGGTCGTTACAAAGATTGACTTCCTTTTGTTTGGAAGGAGGTGGAAGTGACTGCCTTATCCTCGTAATAAGGTATCTAAACAAATTACTTACATGTGGTTCTGAGTCTCCAAGGAATGTTTTGTCTTCACAAAAAAAAAAACACTAAAAATCACTTAATTTCATGCAACTCGGTACAATTTTGACAAGCTAGCTCATTTATTTGAACAACTTATGGCCTCGACAACAATAGTTTGAGCAAATTCATTTCTCCTTCAGAAATAGAAATTCTTCGACTTCAACAACATAAGTTGTTGTTAATAATCATTACCCAATCATGGTTTCATGTTTCTACCACATTCAAATGTAAAGGGGTGGATTTGAAACAAAAAAGTAAAGACATTTTGAAGAAATAAAGTTAGCATCAAAATAAAGAAACCTAGAGGTTGATTGTCTTCGTTACAACCGTTATTAATAAGTAGCTTTGTCAAAAATTTATAAGAGCAACCTATTCTGATACCAATTATTGAATCGGTACGACAACAGTAGAGGAGGGTGAATAGAGTTTTAAGACGGTTTGGTGAATAAAATTTGGAGTTATCGAAGAAAGTTAACGTAGGATGGGAGTCGGCAGGAAGTGGAGGGAGAATTTGATGAATAAAAATGGGATCTTTGAAGGACCAAAAGACAATAATTAGTA